AACTCCTCATCTTCAGCCAGAAGGGATGGGTTGGGGGTGAGGGCGCGACACTTGCCAGATGTTGCATCTGATCATGCCGGTTTAATCCGCCCTCAATCCGTCCATTCCGTGGGGCAAATCCTCCGGTGTGACCGGGTCCATTGTTTCTTGTTGGTTTTGGCAGCTCAGTTTTTTTGTGTGATTTTTTTAAACCATCCTTTTCAAATCCTCATTGCACTCTTTTATCTTGGGAACTGCCTCAAAGATTTTAATTGGAGACATGTGGCATCGAAATGTTTTCCAATGAGCTAGTTAATTGGACGTTAGAACCCCTTCTTCCTTAAGAATCTGTTGAAAAGGGAGGAAAGAAGTGTGTTTTCCTACTTGACTGATAGCTGGATGGTTAAATACACTCTCTGCCCCCCATGGAGGGGGAGTAGGAGTAGGAGGATTTATACCCCGCCCTTCACTCGGAGTCTCGGAACAGCTTATTATCTCCTTCCCTTTCCTCTCCCCACAACAGACACCCTGTGAGGTAGGTGGGGCTGAAAGAGGAGGAGGAGATTGGATTTATACCCCGCCCTTCACTTGGAGTCTCAGAACGGCTTACAAACTCCTTTCCCCTCCGCACAGCAGACACCCTGTGAGGTAGGTGGGGCTGAGAGAGCTCTGTTCTGAGAGAACTGCTCTTGAAAGAACAGCTCTGACAGAACTCTGGCTTGCCCAAGGTCATCCAGCAGGTGCAAGTGGAGGAGTGGGGAATTAAACCCGGTTCTCCCAGATCAGAGTCCGCACACTTAACCACTACACCAAACTGGCTCTGAGAGCTGTGAGAGAACTGCTCTTGAGAGAGTAGCTCTGAGAGAACTGTGCCTGACCCACCACTCTTAACCACTACACCAAACTGGAAGGAACAGGCTCCCTACCAGGGGCCCCTCCCCAGGGCTGGAAGCTCGGTGTGGAGTTTACAGAGGAATTCTGAGCATTAATCATGATGTTTTCACTGAGGCAGGGATGCATAAACACTCCCTATCTGGTTTCCTTTAATCTTTTTTCAGGGATTTCGATTCACTGCATTTCAATCTGAGTTTTGTACATTTCTTTGCAGTGTATGGAGCTCTGCCCTTTTCCTGTAGACACTGGGCTTTGTCTGAAGCTGTGGCACCTAGAACCTGTGGATCGGCATTCATCTAGGGTGCTAGAAGTCTCTGCAATGTTGACATGGGGTATGGGAGGCAGCGATGGCCTCTTGTAGCTAGAGGTTTTTGTCTCACTTCCCCCTCTGTTTGTATCACGGTGAACAGTGCTGCTAGCCCACACCTGGCAGTAATAATCAGCCTCGTCCTCCACTTTGGCCCTTGAGATGGTTAATGTAGCCGTGTTGCCAGAGTTGGAGCCAGAGAATCGGTCTGAGATCCCCGGGGGGCTTCCATTGCTGTTGATCATAATGAGGACTGGGGCCATGCCGGGTTTCTGCTGATACCAGTGCATAAAGGAACCCCTGATGTTGCTCCCTGAACAAGTGATTTGGGCATTTTTTCCCAGAGACACAGACACGGAGGGTGGTTGAGTCAGCACATACTGGGCAAAAGAACCTGGGGAAAAGAAGATCAAAAGATAAATGAAAGGTCTTCGCCCAGCTCTAAAGAGATTAGCCAGGCACAGAAAGTTCCCTTTGACATACCTGACACGCAAGTGAGGAATGGGAGGAAGAGTGAGAACAAGAGCATGATGGGAAAAAACAGATAAGCGTCGCCTCCTGTAGAAAAGGGTTTTTGCTTACTTCAGGCCCTCCCATCCCCTTTTTATCAGTCTGGACTTGCAAACGAGCCCAGCATTCAAATCATTTCCTTTCAAACAACTGTTCTCCCTGCTTTTTGCCCCACCTACCTTTTCAAGGACACGGAGAAGCAGCTCATGGTCCATTTCCCAGGTGTTTTTACTACCTCTGCACTCAGGTTTAACAAGAAGATATTGAAGAGTACCTTCTCTTTTGCTTTATCAGTATTGTATCTAGATATTATCTGAGACATGCTAGCTACTTGTTCATATGGTTGCTTTAAAAATGCTAAATATGGTTGCCAACTTCCAGGTGGGGCCTGGAGATCTCATGAAATTTCCACCAGATCTCCAGATGACAAAGGTCAATTTGAGAAAATGGTTGCTTAGAAGGATAGACTCTATAGCATTACATCCTGCGCAGGTCCTTCCACACCCAAACCACACCCTCTGTAGGCACCACCTCTAAATCTCCATGAATTTCCCAGCCCAGACTTGGCAACCCTATCAAGTAATTGGGATTTTAAAATAATAATAATAATCACACAGTCTATATGCCTCCCTTAGGCCCTGGTCACATGGGAGGTTTTTGCCCGGGAGAGGGACAGATCGGGGGCGCAGCAAACAGGCGCAAGCACACTGCAACATCTGGGAATCGGCTTGCACCCGTCCCCGATCCATCCCTTCAGGCCAATAACGCGCTGTAAAAAAAAAACAAACAAACAGAAGAGGAGGACTTACCGGGTACACCGCAGCAAGCGCGGCCGTGTGATTGCCGGCGCACCCATCTTCTGGAGCAATCCAGGCTCCCGGCCGAACTGCGCATGCTCACACATGCGCAGTTTGGCAGCCTTGGTCTCCCGTCAATGGCTTCCCCCCAGCATCTGATCGTGCCGGGGAGGATCTGCACGGCGGCTCAGGGGATCTATGTGATCCCGCCACCGCGTGTTTCTTCCCCCCCGTGTGGCAGGGGCCTTAAAATCCAAGTGCTTCCACATCTGTGCAGATGCTGCATGGAACATGGTGGCATGCCCATCTTTTGTCTTAGACCTGGTCATAGGGGCATAAAGCACCGTTTGGCTGTGCAGCAGCACCATACAGACTAGAACCACCCTTTGTCCATATTCCTTGTCCTGGTCCAAAAGACTCTGCTATGCCTTTGAGAAACAAAGTGTTTCAGGATAGTAAACACAGTGTAACAACTCTGAGAGACGATAACCAATGAGCCCTTCCGGTGTCAGCATGTACAGCACAGAATTGATCAAGCAGATCTTGTGGTCCAAGCGTGCATTGTAACAGGAAGCGATCTCTCTCTCTCAGTTATTTTTGAAGAAAACACAATATTGTTGAGGAGCTCCCTGACATGTTAAATGTGCCGTGATACAGACGTCAGCACTATTACTTCTACGCCAACTTTAAAAAATCATCTACAGCATTCCTGTGCACTATGAAATCTCATGTGTTCAGTACATTCACTCCCTGACTCTGATTTGTTGGAGAGTTCCAAAACTGTCTAGCACGACAATATCCTCCCCCACTGTGGCACTCTCCTCCTGGTCCCAGGGTCCCTCTACACTGGGGCATACCTCTGCCCCATCCCCTCCCTCCTCCCAGGCAGCCTCCTCTTTTCCTTGGTCCCATAGCCAAGGGTGCAGGCACTCAGGGGCGTTGCCCCAGCTACGGAGGTCTGGTTTTGGCTAGCCCTTTCCATGCCCCTATCTGTGCTGCCACTACTGCTGCTGCTGGTAGGGATGGCTGAAAGCCACACCCCCTGGCCAGCTTGAGATCTGAGGCATACTTACTGCTGATCCCCTCCTGCTGGCCAATCCCAGCCCTAGTCATCTGTGCCCAACCCAAGCGTGGCTGTCTCTGCTGCTTCTTCGGCTGCCTCCAGGCTTGGTGAAAGCAGCCCTGTGTTCTTGTCCACTCGCACTTGGCCTGCCATGGGGGCTGCGATCTCATCAAGGATCCCAGACATATGCAAACTGGGTGAGATTAGATGTACATGTGCATGCATCCTTTGCACAGCAGCAGAACACATCAGTATATATTCTGCAACTGAGAACCTGTTAGGCAGGGGCACTGCCTTACTATAGGGTGGCTTCAACAGCTGGGGCACCTCACTCCTGACCTGAACCAGAGACCCACAAAAGTCAGGCCAAAGGAAGGCACTCCCAGCCTGACAGAGCTAGCCATAGCTCTGGGGAAAAGGGTCTCCATTTTCAGGTTTCATAAGGCAGGCCTCAGAGCAAACCTCCAGTTTTTTCCCCACCCCAAAAGGTATGCATAAGAAACAATGACGAGTTCCACCGGGTATCTACATTTCTAAAGCTATTCAGTGGCCACCTGGTGAATAGCCCTTCTATCTCCAGAACTTCACCTAGCCCTTTTTGTGTGACCCTATGTCTATGTGAGAATCCTGTCTTTCCTGCCCCATCCCTCGGGATAATGAGATAAACCAATCATATGTTCACATTATTAACCATCCTTCCTGGCAACTATCAGGGATGCATCTTCCATCTTTTGAGTAAATCTAGGAAACCATTCAATCTACCTTAGCTGACCCATCAGTGGGCATCAAGACCCATTCAACTAGGCTAGACCAGGTAGACAGGGATCACAGACATATACAAACTCTGGGACCCCATTGGCCACCCTGAATTATGCTCTGCCTGATACCACACCTCCATTGACTCCTTATTGATCTAGAAAACCTATTGTTCTCACCTGAGACCAGCCCCCAAGGCCTCCCATTGGTCTGCATTGTTTTCCAGTGCCTATATCCATCAGCACACATGGCCTCAGATTTTGTGCCTCTGCCCTGATGCCAACTGGCAGTCCACCCCCAATCCTATGTTTGGGTGATAATCTCTTCTCCATGGATTCTGCACATCTGGACAGGTTGTATTACCCCATAACTGACCCCTCTATTCACCATCCATCACCTCTGCTTTCTTAGTTCTGTAATGCTTGCTCTTTTTGAATATTAGTGTGCTTGTAATTAGGGAAATACTCTAATAAAAACTATTTACATTTACTCTTCAAATCTGGAATCTTCCTACTGTACCAGACCTTTGTATTAGCTGTTGTGCAGTCCCTTATACCCCTCTGGCCTCCCCTGCCGCATAGATAGTTTCCCTCAACAACAAGGCAGGCCACTAGCTGTAACAAAGTGCTCAGAAGAGAGAAAGGTGACCTGTCAGGTAGTTATAGTGACTCTTTGATTTCCAAGTATTGATAGGGTCACACAGGGAACTGAACATACCAGATTCTGATACATTTGGCATAAGGGTAGGATTGTCACACACACACACACACACACCTGGAGTGGGGAAGGGAATACTCTGCCCCTGTCTCTAGTTTCCCACCATTGTTTATAGTGGCAGTGGGGGGAAAAGTTAAAATGACCATTGGGCCAATGTTGTGATGTCACTTACTGTTTTTTCTGAGTAGTGATATCATGCCAGCCTGAATGGCTGCCCATGACCCTGTGTCCGCACTAAATATGGGTTATTTATACATCATATATGTACTGCTTGTAAAGTAGGTTTTTGTTCAAATGTCAGAAAATCCATTCATTTTATGCAGAGGAAAACCAGGGCAAGAAAGTAGAATGTGAGACAAAAATAAAGAATCATGGTTATGACCCACACAAGGGAGGGAAGGACAAAATCAAAATGGAAAAGCCGCGATGAGAATTGTGAAATCCTCTCAGGAGGCCAGTGTTGCTGGCTTGGCTTTGCATGCTCAGAGGTATCTCTGCACTTTCCCTGCAGAGACTGGGCTTTGTCTGACGTTGGAGCATCTGGAACCTCTGGATCTGCAGTGATCTTGGATGCTGGAAATCTTTGTAATCTTCTGATATAAGTCATGTTCACATGTTACAGTGAATACATGCATGTCCTACCTGTACATGCATACATCTGTTTATAAGAAACAACAAACTCATATTACTTTTACATGAAAGCATTGACCAGTAGTTGGATAAATGTGAGGTTTGAATCACACATTCAGATGTACATGCATAGAAAATAACTTGAGAATTACTCAACACGTCTATAAAGAAAAATCAAATATACATGGTATGCAGCTTGTACTTGTGTTCCCTGTAAGTTTTGAATTGGGTAACAAGGTGGCAGCAATGGCCTCTTGCAGCTGGAGGTTTTTGTCTCACTTCCCCCTCTGCTTGTATCACTGTGAGCAGCATTGCTGTCCCACACACTGCAGTAATAATTGGCCTCATCCTCTGCTTTGGCTCTGGCAATGCTTAAAGTGGCTGTGTTGCCAGAGTTGGAGCCAGAGAATCGGTCTGAGATCCCAGAGGGTCTGCTGGTACTATAATATATGATGAGGACTGGGGCCATTCCGGGCTTCTGCCGGTACCACTGCACATTCTTGCTCCCAATGTTGTTCCCTGAACAAGTGATCTGGGCATTTTGTTCTGGCATCACAGACACAGAGGATGGTTGAGTCAGGACATACTGGCCAAAAGAACCTGTGAAAAAGGAGAAAATATCTCAGAATAAATGAAAGCACATCTCTACGTTCTAGAGACATTACAGAGAGCCTACTTTGTAGTACCTGACCAGTAATTGAAGAGTGTGAGCAGGAACAAGACCAAGAGCATGATGGGAAACTCGGATGAGGTTTACTTCTTGAGGAAAAGGGAGCATCTACTTTTAATGCCCCCGGTTCCCTTTTTATCTGTTTGGGCTTGCAAACATGCCCAGCATTCAAATTATTTCCATTCAAACAACAGCACTCCCCTGCTGTTTGCCCCACCCATGAATGTATAGGTGCAGAGAAGAAGCCCAGCACCCAGCCTGCGGTAGTTTCACAATCTCTAAACTACAGGTTCACCAGAAAGTGGAGAGTAACCTCTCTCTTGTTCTATCAATATTGGACGTCAGATATTTATGACATTATTATGAAATTATATAGAATTTTAAAAACATTTTCATGTGTGATATTTGTAAAATCCTAAGGTAATGGGGAGAGAAGAAATATATAGTCTGAGTTCCACATCTTCCACATCTGTGCAGCTGTTGTGTGGAGCAGGGCAAGAGTGATGGTGTGCCCTTCTCCCAACTTAATCCTCGTGGTTATGACTCCATAAAGCAGATTATGACTGTGTGGTTGCACCATTAAGACTGGAGACACCCTTTGTCCATGTACCCTGTCCCTTCTAGCTGGCAGCATATGGTGGATTCACAGCTTCTCAGGGGCCAATGGGGACAGAGGGTGGCGCTTGGCAAGAGGGTCTCCCCATGATACCCACTGGAATGTGGAGTGCTACAGAGAGCTATCCTTTCACCAATGCTGTGCAATATCTACATGTGCCCCCTTGCCCAGTTGGTCTGGGGGTTTTGGTTGGGCTGCCACCAGTATGCTGATGGCACCCAGCTCTATCTGTTGCTGGATGGCTGCCTGGACTCTGCCCCAGAGAATGTGGACAGGGTGTTGGAGGCCATGGCTGGGTGGTTACAGCAGAATCAGTTGAAGCTCAATCCAGTGGAGATGGAGGCCCTGTACCTGAGCCAAGGGGCAGTTAAGTCAGGAATCAGGCTCCCTGCCTTGGACGGTGCACCACTTGTGCTGGCCCAAAAGGTGAGGAGCCCAAGGGTAATCCCGGAGGCCTCACTTTCTATGGAGGCCCAGGTTACCACAGTTGCCAGGTCTGCCTTTTATCATCTCTGGCGGATCAGGCAGCCGGTGCCCTATCTCTCCCCCAGGACTTGGCTACAATGACTTATGCAATGGTCTATCCCAGGCTTGATTACTGTAACTCACTCTATGTGGGCTTACCCTTGAGGCTGATCCGAAAACTCCAGCTAGTGAAAGATGTGGCGGCGCGCCTGCTAAGTGCAATGTCTGTGTGGGCATGCATTCAGCCAGTTCTACACCAATTGCACTAGCTACCGATCAAGTACCAGATCTGCCAGGCCTTTGGGTGAGGCAGCAGGCATCCAATTATTCAGCCGCCCTTGCTGAAGCTTTCCATCTCTGTATGGGCCAGACTAAGAAGATCCCCATATTATTTGGGTTATGGCCTAGCTACTTCACTCACCTGAGATTATTGTATCTTTATAGTGCTTTTGTTGTTGTTGTTCAGTCGCACAGTCAAGTCTGACTCTTCGCGACCCCATGGACCACATCACGCCAGGCCCTCCTGTCTTCCGCCATACTCCCTCACCATCACCTCAGCCAAATCCTTCACTATTGCATGCCAGGCATCCCTGCTTCTGCTGGCTTCCCAATTTACCCCTGACCGCCAGCAGCAGGGCTTCTCTTGGAATGTCAATTGATCTCCAGATTACAGAGATCAGTTGCCCTGGAGAAAATGGCTGCCTTAGAGGATGGAGTCTGTGGCATTACACCATGCCAAGGACCCACCCCTGTCCAACCCTACTTTCCCTAGGCTCTACCCAAAAAAAACTCCAGGAATTTTTCAACCCAGAGTTAACAACCCTGGAGCTACAACACCAGTAGGGACCACTGTGTGGCAACTTGTCTGATATCAGCTGTGCCCAAAAAGCACAATGCTAGCAACTCCTCTACAGAATGACGAAGCTTAAAATGCTAAGACTGTGCCATTAGTCATCCTTCTGATTCTGCAAACAGAGCAATTGCAAACAAGGTGACAAGACAAAAATAAAGAATCATGGTTATGACCCACACAAGGGAGGGAAGGACAAAATCAAAATGGAAAAGCCGCGATGAGAATTGTGAAATCCTCTCAGGAGGCCAGTGTTGCTGGCTTGGCTTTGCATGCTCAGAGGTATCTCTGCACTTTCCCTGCAGAGACTGGGCTTTGTCTGACGTTGGAGCATCTGGAACCTCTGGATCTGCAGTGATCTTGGATGCTGGAAATCTTTGTAATCTTCTGATATAAGTCATGTTCACATGTTACAGTGAATACATGCATGTCCTACCTGTACATGCATACATCTGTTTATAAGAAACAACAAACTCATATTACTTTTACATGAAAGCATTGACCAGTAGTTGGATAAATGTGAGGTTTGAATCACACATTCAGATGTACATGCATAGAAAATAACTTGAGAATTACTCAACACGTCTATAAAGAAAAATCAAATATACATGGTATGCAGCTTGTACTTGTGTTCCCTGTAAGTTTTGAATTGGGTAACAGGGTGGCAGCAATGGCCTCTTGCAGCTGGAGGTTTTTGTCTCACTTCCCCCTCTGCTTGTATCACTGTGAGCAGCATTGCTGTCCCATACACTGCAGTAATAATTGGCCTCATCCTCTGCTTTGGCTCTGGCAATGCTTAAAGTGGCTGTGTTGCCAGAGTTGGAGCCAGAGAATCGGTCTGAGATCCCAGAGGGTCTGCTGGTACTATAATATATGATGAGGACTGGGGCCATTCCGGGCTTCTGCCGGTACCACTGCACATTCTTGCCCCCAATGTTGTTCCCTGAACAAGTGATCTGGGCATTTTGTTCTGGCATCACAGACACAGAGGATGGTTGAGTCAGGACATACTGGCCAAAAGAACCTGTGAAAAAGGAGAAAATATCTCAGAATAAATGAAAGCACATCTCTACGTTCTAGAGACATTACAGAGAGTTTACTTTGTAGTACCTGACCAGTAATTGAAGAGTGTGAGCAGGAACAAGACCAAGAGCATGATGGGAAACTCGGATGAGGTTTACTTCTTGAGGAAAAGGGAGCATCTACTTTTAATGCCCCCGGTTCCCTTTTTATCTGTTTGGGCTTGCAAACATGCCCAGCATTCAAATTATTTCCATTCAAACAACAGCACTCCCCTGCTGTTTGCCCCACCCATGAATTTATAGGTGCAGAAAAGAAACCTAGCACCCAGCCTGCGGTAGTTTCACAATCTCTAAACTACAGGTTCACCAGAAAGTGGAGAGTAACCTCTCTCTTGTTCTATCAATATTGGACGTCAGATATTTATGACATTATTATGAAATTATATAGAATTTTAAAAACATTTTCATGTGTGATATTTGTAAAATCCTAAGGTAATGGGGAGAGAAGAAATATATAGTCTGAGTTCCACATCTGCCACATCTGTGCAGCTGTTGTGTGGAGCAGGGCAAGAGTGATGGTGTGCCCTTCTCCCAACTTAATCCTCGTGGTTATGGCTCCATAAAGCAGATTATGACTGTGTGGTTGCACCATTAAGACTGGAGACACCCTTTGTCCATGTACCCTGTCCCTTCTAGCTGGCAGCATATGGTGGATTCACAGCTTCTCAGGGGCCAATGGGGACAGAGGGTGGCGCTTGGCAAGAGGGTCTCCCCATGATACCCACTGGAATGTGGAGTGCTACAGAGAGCTATCCTTTCACCAATGCTGTGCAATATCTACATGTGCCCCCTTGCCCAGTTGGTCTGGGTGGTTGGGTTGGGCTGCCACCAGTATGCTGATGACACCCAGCTCTATCTGTTGCTGGATGGCGGCCTGGACTCTGCCCCAGAGAATGTGGACAGGGTGTTGGAGGCCGTGGCTGGGTGGTTACAGCAGAATCAGTTGAAGCTCAATCCAGTGGAGATGGAGGCCCTGTACCTGAGCCAAGGGGCAGTTAAGTCAGGAATCAGGCTCCCTGCCTTGGACGGTGCACCACTTGTGCTGGCCCAAAAGGTGAGGAGCCCAAGGGTAATCCCAGATGCCTCACTTTCTATGGAGGCCCAGGTTACCACAGTTGCCAGGTCTGCCTTTTATCATCTCTGGCAGATCAGGCAGCCGGTGCCCTATCTCTCCTGCCAGGACTTGGCTACAGTGACTTCTGCAATGGTCTCTTCCAGGCTTGATTACTGCAACTCACTCTATGTGGGCTTACCCTTGAGGCTGATCCGAAAACTCCAGCTAGTGAAAGGTGTGGCGGCGCGCCTGCTAAGTGCAATGTCTGTGTGGGCATGCATTCAGCCAGTTCTACACCAATTGCACTAGCTACCGATCAAGTACCAGATCTGCCAGGCCTTTGGGTGAGGCAGCAGGCATCCAATTATTCAGCCGCCCTTGCTGAAGCTTTCCATCTCTGTATGGGCCAGACTAAGAAGATCCCCATATTATTTGGGTTATGGCCTAGCTACTTCACTCACCTGAGATTATTGTATCTTTATAGTGCTTTTGTTGTTGTTGTTCAGTTGCATAGTCGAGTCCGACTCTTCGTGACCCCATGGACCACATCACGCCAGGCCCTCCTGTCTTCCGCCATCCTCTGGAGTTCACCCAATTTCATGATTGCTGCATCAACAACACTGTCTAATCATCTCATCCTTTTTATAGTGCTACCTGTTTTTAAAATATTGTGCCTTTTGTTTTAATTGTTTTAAATATTTAATTACTATGATTGTTCTAATGACTTTGTAAAACCACTGTTGTGGCCTTCCCTGAGCCCGCTTGCAGGGAGGGCAGAATATAAGTCTAAATAAATAAATAAATAGACAGACTGCAACCGATCCAACATTTTCAGCCAACTTATTTCTCACTGAAACATTCTGCCATTCCTTGGAGAAGAAAGTACTGCAGGACAGCAAACCTAGCATTACAACCTTGAGATGGCAACCACTGAGGCTTGCTTGTGTCAACATGCACAGCACTGAATTGCTCAAGCAGATCCCATGGTCCAATCATGCATTATAACAGGAAACAATCTCTCTCTCTGT